AGAGAGAGAGAGAGAGAGAGAGAGAGAGAGAGAGAGAGGATAGTCTATATATTGACGAAGAGGTAAAACTGACGGGTATTAGACTGGCAGAAAAGCGACCTTACACACATCACAGCACAGCACAGCACACACTCACTCCCAGCAGCAAAGCAGCAGTCTTAGCCAATATGCCTTCCATACCATTCATTCCCATCCCACTCCCCAAAGATAGATAGATTCATCACGACCACAACCACATGCATATACACCGAACTGCAGCCAGCCAGCGAACAAACTCCCCCAGCCCCAGCAACCAGACCCCCGCATTACGGCGATTCCAGCTCTCATGACCGACTGGCTGGATGTGTAACTCGTGCTTCATCGCCTCGCCTTCCCTGTGCTTCATTTCATTCTCTCGCCTTCTTCCCGTCCTTCTTTCCTTCCTTCTTTCCTCCCCTTCTCTCTTCCTCGGTCTCTCCGCATCAACACCCGCTAAACATGCACAGCGAATAAAAACGGCTTTGGCAGGAAGACGAAGAGGAAAAGAGGAGAGCAGAAAGAGGGGAAACGAAGAAAGAAGCAGAGAGAACAAGAAGCGGAAATGAGTCGAGGGAGCACCAGCCACAACCACCGAGTCATTGGGCTGGAAAGCGGCAGCCAAGGCCAGGCAAGCCAAGCTGGAGAATTGTTCGAGGGATAGATAGATAGAGAGAGGCATTAGACAGAAAAAGCCATAGACACAACAAATAAGAGTTTTAAAAAACGGAAATCATAGTAGAGACCCCCTACCAGTTCACCCGCGCCAACGCCTTGCAGGATGCATTATGTTATGTATAACCGGAAGAAGACAGACCCGGACGGACCGAAACGACGGACGAACGGACAGATGCTCAGAGCTCGTTCATCAACAGCAGGGCATCAGCGACAACGACAACATCGGAGATGATTTTTTTTGGGGCGTGTAGAGTGATTGCGTGCGTGCGGGCGTGCATGCATTGTAAAAAAAGACCACTTGCGCGACAGACCGGTCACACGATCGATCGGCAAGCGGGTGTGTGCGTGAACGATGGACGGACGCACAAAATCAGCCCACCAGACGCGGTGCACACGGCCGCGCCTAGATGACGCCGAAGCCGACGACGAACCAGGTGAATGTCGCGACGGTGATGGCGAACGTGCCGACTAAGAAGCCCATGGTCTGGCGCTCAAAGGTAGAGAACGCGGCGTTGCAAGAGGGGCAGCTCCATTCTACAGCCGAGTCAGTAAATTCATTTAATCTAGAGCAGTGGTGGAAAGAAAGGAAAGGAAAACTCACGGGCACGCGGCGTGTACGGCTGCGGGTTGTACATGCCGAAGCGGAACGTGTTCGAGACACCAAGGTAGCCGGCGCCGGCCGTGGCGCTGATGCTGCTTCCTGCATCGTAGACAATCAGAGTGTACGTCTCCTGCACGAGGCTCTGCGTGGCCGAGGCCTTGGTGTCGTTGGTGTTCCAGTAGACGGTGCCGGGACCGTTACCGACGCTCATGTTGGCCGCAATCGTGTACGTCGCCGAGTTGACGCTGCAGCTGGCCAGCACGTTAATTGCCGACGGCGTCACCGACAGCGACGTGTAGTTCCACGCGAACGTCACCCAGTCGCCAATCTTGTAGTACTGGCTGCCGTCATACGGGCCCGGCGTAATCATCGAGATACCGCCGGACGGCAGTCGTGCGTCAAACGTCTTCGACTTGTGCTTCGTCGTCTTGCTCTTGTCATCCTTGTTCTTGCCAGTGCCCGAGGCGGTGCCCGTTGCGGACGCCTCTGCGGTTCCGCTGCCCTTGGCCGTCTTCGCGGCCGTTCCGGTGGCAGAAGCAGTGTCCGTTGTCGCGGCGGCGCCGCTGGTGGCCTTGGCCTTGCCAGTATCAGATGCCTTAGCCGAATCGGTCGCCTTTGCAGTGTCGGATGCTTTTGCCGTGTCCTTAGCAGTTTCCTTTGCAGTGTCCGTGGCCTTGGCCTTGTCGTCAGTCTTGGAGTCGGCATCGCTGGAAGCTGAAAAGCCATAGGCCTTGGTTAACTTCACTCTGTTCCTCAACATTTTAGAAAACAAGGAGACTTACCATCATCCTGGTTATCAGCGCGTCCGTAGATCAAGTTGTTGAACTCGCGCTTGGGTAGATAGTTTTCGCTCTTGTTCAGCATGCCCTCGACACCAGAGCCAGCCAAGGCCTTGATATCTCTAATGTTGATGTTGGGTGGCCATGGCCAGGCGAGCGGTAGCTCGGAGAAAACGCAGATGCCGAGGAAAAGGGAAAGGAGGAGGTTGTGGAACTGCATCTTGTGCTACGACAAGACCGGGCGGCGAGAGAGAGGCTCAGGAAAAGATGTCGAGCCGCGGTCGGGTGGCAGCGATTGCAATGGCGACGATAACGTAGTGGTGGATTTGGATCAGCGGTCGCTGGCGCGGATCGTTGCTAGTGCGTGAATCGGTGAGATGCGGGGCTCAAGACACACTGTTCCTCCCAAACGAGTGACTGGAGTGGTCGCAGGCAAGAGGACAGCGAGCGAGGTCCTTTTCGGCTGGGGACGGAGCGGTGGAGAGGGGATTGTTGAGGCGGACGAGGAGAAGTGGTGGTGCAGGGGGCTGCGACGGCGATGCACCAGGCCCGGGAGAGGCGACCGTCTATGCTATTTTTGGGGCCCAGAATACGGGATGACGGGTCGCGCGCCCGAGCTCGAGTCGTATCGAATTTTTTGCCAGCGCGCAGCGTGCACGAGGTCCGGGCAGGAGGCGAGGGAAAATAGGCTTTGTAGTGTCTCGCTGGCCTCAGCAGACACTTTTTCTGTTGTCAATTCTTGTTGCTCCAATTCCTCACCGACTGCCAAGGGCGAGAAGCGTGCCAGCAGCCCCCGATGAGTCGTGCATTGCTCGATTCGAGAAACACGACGTATCCGTTTGCTGTCTCCTGAGCCGACCATCAGATGACGCCAGTCATGGCGATTGTTGCCAGAATTTTCTCTATTCGGCTGCTCGCAGCCCTTTCTCTCTACTACGAGTCGTACGTATGTATGTATGCGCTGCGCCACTGCGCCCGCAATGCGGAAAACCGACAAGAATGCTCCCACGGCTCGCGCGTGAGAGCATGTGAGGAAAAAA